AAAAACTGAAAAGGAGCCCACGGGGCTTTTATGCTGGCCCAAAAAGCTCAGGCTCGTTTTCGTAAGATCCAAAATCCAATAGCTCACGTCAACGCCTTCAAGAATTGAAAACCAAAACCCTAATTCCACTTCCTTCTTCCTCCCGCTCGTCACACTAACTCCGGCTACCCCAAGCAGCGTCGGCCGTTTCTGCTCTCAGGTAAAACGCTTCACCTCTTTGCTTGCAAATAATTCACCGGATCTGATTAATTCCATCTCTGTTTAGTTCTGTATGTAAGTATGTTTATCTTCTTCGGTTCAGTGTTTTTGTATAGGTTCTTTGTTTCGATCACTGAACAGCAGAGCTGTTTTAGCTTAAAAACTAACTAATATCGGTTAATATAGTTGATTTTGATGATCTTTCAAGCACACAAGAACCTTTTCATCGTTGATTTAGCAGCTAAACCGAATGATTAATTCCCAAATTTGGTATTCTGGGTTCTGTTTGTGATACGTGTGTTTGTTGGGGAGATGTGGATTTAGTAGCTAGGTTGGACTGAGTTTAGTGAATTGTCTGTATCTGTAAAGATGCTTGGCTGTGCATAGGAGTTGTGTTCTTCTTTGTCATATGAGGATATTAAATATCTTATAAAAACATCAAATGTCTATTTTGTTGCACATGAATTAAGCAATGAAATGGTTTGGATGTGCTATTGCTAATGTCTCACACGTCTTTTTGAGTTTAAGGTAGTGAGACTTGAGATGGGTTTTCTTGGTCAAATGGTATATTTGAAAATGAAATTCTGGTTCTGATTTGTTTTGGTGTGTGTGTGAAAAGGATAATGAAACAATTGGCAGTATTGCTGGAAATCACTGTTTATTAGAGTAACCGAAAGGGGATCTTATTTCCAAGTGATTTTTCATTGATTACAAATGTTGTTATTTGTTAACAAATGCAATGATTTCTGTAAAATCTTTTAGCAGCTTGCATTTGGAGCAATGGTGAGAGTTAGTGTCTTGAATGATGCTCTCAAGAGCATGTACAATGCAGAGAAGAGGGGCAAAAGACAGGTCATGATCAGGCCATCCTCAAAAGTGATCATCAAGTTCCTGTTGGTTATGCAGAAACATGGTTTACCCAATATACCTTCTTCCTTTTTCAAAACAAGCTTTAGTTAAATCGATATTAATAAACTGAAACAATGGGATCCTTTCTTTCTTAAATTGGTCATGTAGGTTATATTGGAGAGTTTGAGTATGTTGATGATCACAGAGCTGGGAAAATTGTGGTTGAATTGAATGGAAGGCTTAACAAGTGTGGGGTGATTAGCCCTCGTTTTGATGTTGGTGTGAAAGAGATTGAAGGTTGGACTGCTAGACTTCTTCCTTCAAGACAGGTAAGCTGTATAATCGACCTCATATTTAACAATTTTAATCTTGTTAAAGCTTGATGTTTAGGATGGAATTTGGTAGCAATGATATAGTCTAAATAGGTGGGGGCAACATGCCAACATGTCTTGTATCCACTTTCCAATCTAATGGTCCTAGATAAGCTTTAATGTTTGGAGATTGGTTTCCATGAAAGTCAATTCAATCGAAATGAGAGTAATGAGCTTTGTGTTTGCTGATTGCAGTTTGGGTATATTGTGCTGACAACATCTGCTGGTATCATGGACCATGAAGAAGCCAGAAGAAAGAATGTAGGTGGAAAAGTACTCGGCTTCTTTTACTGAGACAGATTTTCAATAGTTATCATTTTAGAAATTTTGCTTGCCTTGCCACCAAAGTAGGTTATCCTCTTTCAATGTTCGTTCTGATTCAAATATATATTGTGATTTTCAGGATGTTTTTCATATCATTTTACCTGTGATGCTTGAGATTTTGATCTTTCATTCTTGTCACCAGATGCAGTTCATAGTCTTCTTTCATTTTTTTTTTTTTTTTAAATTTAAACATTTGTGCCTATTGGTCTTTCACTGGACTTAAGGCCCATATAAAACCATTTCCATTGGCGTTAATTATAATTTATTATAGGGGTATTGTTTTAGTATTTGAATTATAAAATATTTTTTAAATAATTTATACTTCTTTAAAGATTTTGTTTCGGTAATATGTGTAACATCTTACTTCTTACATATTACTTCCTCTGTTTAAACATGTTAGGTCTAGTTTTTTCTGTCCAATAAATTATGAATGTAATAATTTATTGATTAAATTTTGTATGGGATTTCTTAACTTGTATTTTAAGGGAATAGATTAAGTCTTATTTGTTGTAGTATTTGTAATTAATTTTACATAAATTTTTATACAAGATTTAAAAAATATAAAATATAAAAATATAATATAATATAATATTTTATCTTAAATTTTGTTAAAAATTATAAATTTATATAAAATTAATTGAAGATGTTTTAATTAATGAATCTTAATATATACCTTTAAGGTATAAATTAGATAAATTTATTTTTAATTAATAACTATTCAAATAAGATTTTTTATTCAATGTTCATATATGTTATAATTATTTTTTTTAAATAATAATAAATATATTAAATAATATTTTTAAAAAAATT